CTAACTCAAAGAAATTTAATAACTTAATAACGTCGTTCTCTCTTTTTCAGATAACACGAATCAAGATCGAGATGGTGCAGCAGGTGATTATTAACGAAAAGTTCATATCATATTTATGCATTAAAGGTTTTTCTTAGACGATCGAGCACCCGCCAATTATCGGTAATTGGAGAACATTCCTTACCGATTGAAATTCGTTCTTAGCTTAATTGACTGTGATGTTATCATTAGTAATTGCAGTTTCTGTGAAAAGATGATGTTAAGTAACCTAGAATACTTTCCAAGAGAATCACTTTATTTCAACCCGATCGTTCTTTTCTTTAATGCTTGATACAACAGGGCAATCAACATCAGGAACTGGAAATGTTGGAATTGGGGTAGCGAGAGCCCCCAACGAGGTGGTTGTGGTTAAGACCCTCCAGAAGGTACATTGCATTATGTGTTATGATTAATAACTTCTAGGATCGTCAGAAATGAAACTTGATTTGGTACCAATAAATGGGGCTGTAATGCGAACATGTCAACTGGTGTTTAGATGAGAGTATACAAACACGTAAAAACTTGTGCTAATTAATATTTAATTTAGGTGGACCCTAAAATAGCCATCCATATATTATTTGATTTCAAATGATTTTTATGGCCACTGCCCCCTATGGAGGTGAAGCCATAATGTTGACTTGGTTGAGTGAGTGAGCGAGCGAGTGTGATTGTAGAATTCGAAAGGATAGATGGATAGAGGAATGGTGAGGTTCTTGAGCTAGCCACTATAATTTGTCATTCCTCTTTAATATTATTATCATTATTTTAATCATTGATTTATTATTATGAATATGACTATTTGTTACCATCTATTGGGTACTGAAAAAGATGTGGGATGTAATAGTAGTAGCTATATCCGGTCTTAACTGCCTATTTCTTTACTTCAGACAAAAACTCAAGTGATGAGGAACTTGGTAGACCTATCTTTACTTCATCACCAATAATACTACATCAAGTACCCATTGTAGCAGGTACATGTAGGTATACTTTCCACACTGTTTCTGTCTAGAGAACTAAAGTGTAGGGTAGCATTGCTCTTGCAGCTTTAATGAACTTGTTTTCCTTTTTTGTTCTTTTCCTTTTCCTTTCAATTAGGTGACCAGAAAAGAGCAGAGATGTTTGTTGAAAGCCTATATGGTAAAGATGAAGGAAGTTCAATATGTAATTATTTCTGGAGTTGAGTTACAAACGGGATGGGCATAATTATATTGTACAGAGATATTAAGAATGGTATACCCACTTGAAAAGACTATGAGAGTTGTAATAACTTGAAAGACAACACTTATAGCTGAGACTAGTCAATTCATGCTGTTTATAGTCTTTGTAATAATTCACCCTAAGTTGTTCTCAATTTCCTAGAGTCAGTAGTCACATGCTGTCCTATGGCAATGGGTGGCCACATTTTGGCTGCACAGGCAGTAGAAGGTAATAGTGTAATCCAATAATTATATACAAATTTTAAAGGTCAAATATTGGCTTGTCAATCCTAGTTCAAATTATATTTTGATAGGTTTTGAACATGAATATTTTAAAATAAAGTAATAGAAGAAAGGGTGATTAATTTAAAAAAAGACGTGTAATGTTTTTCAGTGGGAACAGTGGAAGAGGAGGTGGATCAACTGGTAGGTGCAGAAGCGAGTAAGTGAAGACTTGAAATGAATCATCTTAATCTGGTCCTGCAAAGAAGTTATGTGCTCAATTGATTCTACATTCTTACTGTTAGACCCAAGATGTGGACCAGCCTATGATTTACAGCTTCTAAGAAAACTAACGGTAGCACACGATGTGCCCTCAGTGCTACCATTCCTGTGCATAAATGCACAAGAAGTAAGTGTGTGAAGGTTTGTAGGGATGATTTTAGATAAGAGTTGCATGCATAGTCTCTTGAGGTTATGATGGACAAGTCACAGTTGGCCTAGTCATAAGCATGTGAAACTTCAGATTTTGTTGCAGTCTGGTTCATGACCTTGCTCTATGTCAGGGGGTTTTGTGTTTGGATGCAATACATTCTTTCTCAAAGTGCCTATTTCCAGCCTGCACCATTAATGACAACCAGAAAACTTGCAGGGAAACCTAATCAAATGCTGGGGATTAACCTCTTAGGAGCCAACAGCTATACATGACCTTTTTTCTTCATGGGACTCACATTTCATTAATTCTAAGTTCTAATGTTGCAATTTAGAATCAAGTTTAGTATTACAACTGATTGAGGTCTATCTTGGGTTCATAGTGTTTTTACATAATTGTATAAAATGTACATGTAACTTTGTGTTCATGTTTAGTTTTTTTTAGCGCTTTGGGTCCGATTGTAGAGTTAGAATTGTGACATAAAACGCGTCACTTAATGTTTTGACATTTCTCATCAATTCTTCCCATTCCCTAAATTATACAGATGAGTCATCACTAGTTGAAGGTTACATACATCAAAATACACTGAAATGAAATGCATGTCTTACGAAATTAGAGGTTCTGCACTATAATGTTTGGAAGGGAAAGACAAATGTTGTGCATTTATACAATTAAAAGCAATTATTATTATAACATTTAAAAAAATCCTATTACATCTAAAAATTGAACTCAGATGAGAAAGCAGTGCCACCAGGGCTGTATTCCTTTGGTGCTCATCCGCTACAAAGCTTCCAAAAAGGCCATGGATACCTTAAGGTACACCTCCTATAAATCTCTGCAATATAACTTCATAATAATCAGTGCAAAGAATTATCCAGTGGTCATGCTTTGCATTTCATTTCATTAGGGATAAGTGATTCTAGTTAAAAATATTTCAATAATAGCTGATAAGTGCAAGTCATATAGTAGTATTGTATCCATCACCTCATTGAATATAGTACACACTACCAGTTCATTTCAGAGCTTTGTTGGATATATCAGGTGTGTTGGGAACCTGCTATTTGTGTGCCTCCCTTTAAGGCAGCAATTTTGATAACAGTGGTAAGTGTTTAGGCTGAATACCAACCTCTGTTATTATTATTGTTATTATTATTATTATTATAGTTATTATTATTATTATTATTATTATTATTATTATTATTATTATTATTATTATTAGTTGTTGAGACACTGGTGGTTCTCCTGGTGACTCACATGATTATCAAGCTGTATCCCAAGGAAATCATTTTCAAATTTTTTTCCCACTTTTACCATGAAACAGCAGTTTATTGGACAACAAAAGTCAGCTCTCAAAAGGCATGTAACCTCAAACAGATTTTTCCATAGTTCATTGTCAATCTGTTGTA